AACATCACACCGTTACTGAACCTCTGATGACTCAACTTTGTGGAACTTGATTCCACACAATGTTCATGGTTCAAACATCCTAAGGTGGTTTTGGAATTTTCATCGCAAAAAGGATGATTACACATCAAATACAGATGACTTTTAATCCTACTTATTTTATTTTATGTGTAATCATCCTTATTTGATGCAAATTCCAAAACCATTTGTACAAATTTCTACCAAGTGACAAGTACCAAGATTTTGTGACATGTGTCACGAAATTTGATTGAGCTCCAGCCTCTTATGTGCAGGTATGGTTTAACATACAACACACAACAAGAGCTTCATCTATTTCAAAGTATGATCATACTTGTTATGTCTATGTACCCAAGTCATACTAGGACCAATCTTATGATGCTTGCAATCAACCTGACTTGCTCTCTCACATAGGCTAATAACATACAGAGTGGAATCCACACTAATGACAGCTCCGGAGGCATGACTACTATCCAAGACGAAGACAGTGAGCTTAATGAGTTTTCTTAAATCTAGATAATCACTTCATCTATAAAAGCCAAACAAGACACAGAACATATTAATGAAGATACTAGTTGTACTCCAATAGTATTTCAAGTATGCTTAACGGAATTATTATTATTTTTAAAAAGATGAATTTAGTTTACTAAAACAGTCATATAAAGTAAAAGATTCGATACAAGATACTTTCAAAAATTTTCAATACTAAGTATTGAAAGTTCCCAACCACATTCCAAATCTCTTACCAAAAATCTCGAAGCTCCACGGGGTGAAGATTGACACCAAGTCTCCTCTCGCATTTTATTGTAGTCTCGCACGCACCATTCTCCGTGACTATCTTGACTCTCAAAGAACCTTGCTCCACGTTGTGACAAGATCTCGTCTTTCCTTTGGCCAACCTTTTATTCTCTATGGGAAGAAGGATGTGAGTTAACGGGCGGAAGACAACGGTTGAGTTAATCGTCGTAGACAGCGGTTTAGGAGCGGACGTATTTCAACGGTTGAGTTAACTGTCGTAAATAATTCTTTATAAACATAAAATCAATTTTTAAATAAATGTTGACTTCTTTTGTGAAAAAACTAAATGAAAGTCATATGAAAAATAAATAGATAATTAATAATTTATTTATTTTATATTATAATCGAATGAATGGAATAAAATTTAATTTTTCATTAAAACGTGAAAAAGGGTTTTTGAATTTTTTTATTATGATTTCTGATTCTTTAGACAACATAAAGAAATTATAGAGTGCTGTTCCAAATCACCTTAATTTTGAAGTCTGAAGTATAATATTTTAAAAAAAATTCTAATTAAATGGAATAGTTTCATTCAATAGCAGAATCAAGGCTGACTAGACATGATTCTGTTGGAAAGCCAGTAAAAGTAATCCAGACTGAAAAGCACGGACACATACTCATGCATCCGAATCATAGTAATATATATAATGGCAGTTTTTAGCGTGACATTGTCGTTCTGATATAGGCTCGTTTACTTTTCAAGATTTTGTTGCTGAGACTAACATTTCTAGATATGAAAAACTCCTATTTCAATACAGTTATTTCAGAAATTTAGAGATCTTGACGATAATTACAAAACAAAAGGCAATTATTAACCAGAATGTCGAGACAGAGATAATATCAAACAATGCGTGGACACATTTGATTTTCAAGAAACATAAAAAGCACAATATGTCAACACCATGGATATATCAGAATTAAGAGGTTGTTCATTCCAGAATTCTGAAATTAAAACAAAAAACTGCGAGGAGTGCAACGTTTATAAATCATGTCAAATGGACGTGTAGATTCTGCATATTGTAAATACAGCGAGTATATTCATGGTCCCACCAGAAATGAAATACTGTGAGCAGAATTGTCCTTCTAGTCAATGACCTTTTGCTTTAGCCGCCTCCCAGCCATCAAATGCTTCTATAACAGCTACATGATCACTGTATCTACCATATGAGACTGCAAGTTCCTGTTTTGCTTGATGCGTTGGCTTCTTTTGATTTAGAGCTATGGGAAATGCACCAGTTGCACCAGCCAGCAGCACAACTTGTAGACATGGTCACGTAGCTGGCTAATCTTCGGCTAGCCGATTCAAAGGCCCGGCTAGAGAATCAAATTTAGCCGGCTAGATGATTAGCCCACGACTATCGGCCGAAAACGCATATCGGCTGAATATTTTGTATGAATTAGCCAAAATAGTCGGCCGAAAATTCGGAGTCTGTCCGAGTTTTCGGATCGTTTTCGGACTCTGATAGTGTTCCGGCTAGTTCGTTAAGTACACTGCAACATTCTAACTGTAACGATTGTCGTTACAGTTAGAACGGCTGTCTAGCTGGATGACGAAAAACATTAGCCTGCTAGCCGTGAACATCCCTAATAACTTGTGCTGCTGGCTGGTGCATTGACTGCCACTTGTGCTGTACAAGTGGCAGTCAATGCATGATCCAAAAAATTGAGTAGAATGGCAAATATGAGCATCTTGCTTGTGGAAGGATGAACTGATAATGAATCTGGCATATTCCCAAGGTCAGTAAGCCTCTCGTCCGTAGTCAAAGCTCCAAGATCTTGAAGTAAGAGAACGACATTGCGCACCACTAGATGGAGAGCAGGTTCTACCGCTTTGTTTATTAAAGTGGTTACCCTTCCATTTGGCTTCAACAGTTTAACCTGATTGAGAAAAGAATAAGTTCAGTATATCTGCAGTTGATGGAAACAAGCATTCGACTAATGAACATTAATATATTTTCTAGTTTCCTTGATGTGAGAATCCAGTAAGTCCTCTCGATCGAAATTGATTGATAGGAACAAGACGAGTTGTGGAAAACTGATGGGACTACATGCCTGCAGACATAGTTCCTCAAGACGAGTTCGTTTGATTTCTAGAAGTTGATAATCAGGGAGAGCAGGTGCCCTTGTCCGTGAAAAAAGATGGTAGCAAACTCCTGGCTTACAAAGTCCCGCTCAAATCCAAAAGACAGTGCAAAAAAACATGAAGGACTAGCCGAAAACGTCTAGTCCTCTCTTCGGAATCGGAACGAATGAAGAAAGCGCGATCGTAAAATTCGTGCGTTCCTGCTCGAGGAAAATAGTTTTGAATTTCGAGGTATTTTGTTGTTCATCGGGCCACTTTCCGTCCATTCTTCCCTCCCTCCCTCCCTCCGTCGCGAAGGTTTTCCCTCTCGATGCGGCCGGTGGTCTGACTGCATCCACTACACGTGGCCTCCCGGGTCCGACCGATCCTTGCCGGTGGCTCGCTCGTTCACGCAAGGCGCAGGAGAGGGACGGAAGCGGTCGGCCGGTCGGTCGGGCGGGCTCGACGCGAGGCGATCGTCGTGTTAGGGCCGCCGTCCGGCCGCATGTGGGGCCAACTGTAGTCGTGGAACTCCAGACCTTCTCCAGCCGAAAAACGTCCGGCTTGTCCTTCATGTTTTTTGGCACAGTCTTTGGCTTTTGAAGATCCAAGGTGTCTAGAATGTGGAAACATTGCTGTAGGGATCATAACTTTTATCCCTAACATGTAGGTATCATAACTTTTGTCTTTATTATTACTCTTTGCATCGAAGCGTAATGAAGGAACATCTTGATATATGATATTCCCCTTGTTGAGAATGGGAAGGAGCATCGCTATCATAATCTTATAGAAAAAGTTTAGTGAGGATAAAGGAATTTTGGCCTTGCAGTTTGAAAATGGTGCATCTCGTGTGAACCAATTATCTTAAGAAGGGCAAGGAAGACGAGCGGACTGGAAATCGAAGTGTTCTACCAAGACGAAAACCTTTTCTTCCCCTTCAGACCCTTTTTCTCGGTCGGATCACATCAGCAAGGGAGAATACACGTTTGCTGGCTGCTCAAGTTGTAAGAACTTCCCAAACGGGGAGCAGCCATTTCGGAGAGAAGTGATGAATTTGCTGGACGAAGCAACAGCGTGGAGATCGGAGTTGTAGGTAGCGCCAGACATCCACTTCCCTTGCCCTGATGCGTGAAGCGAAGAAATCTGGCTCCCGTAGGTCAACATCTGCCTGCCGCTGGTTAATGTAGTGGTCCGGAACACAGTATTACCACAAACGTCATTGGACATCCAGTTAAGGGAGATGACCAGGCATGGTTATATAAATCGGTCGCGTTTATCCGCTTAATTTAGTTAAGATAGTTATCTTCAGTTAACCTAGTTAGTTAAGTTACTTAACTCTCAAGAAAGTTAATTTAGGCGTTTTGGTGCCAAAAGTCGCATTAAGCGCACTTGAGAGAAAGTGAGTGGTTGGGAGATAAAGGAGAGATAGTCAACATCACGGGTTTGTGGTTTTAACAGTTTGTTGTTGAGAGGAAAATTAATTTTTAAACTTCAGATTACAACTCGGTGAATTATGAAACGGTAACAAGTTGATTCAAATTTGAGTGGCTAGATAATTCCATGTTTCAATTTTGAGCCATTACAAACTAAATGTTACGGTTAATTTAGATAGCGACACCTCGATAAAGAATCGCCTAAAGTAACTATAACCGGAAATGACTCATCTCCATTAATCTCACCTCAGATGAGGAAATTACCATTGTACGTAAGAGCCACAAGTGCTCGACGGACATACTTTCGTTCCACTCTATTTGCACTATATATTCTCTAGATACGGACACTTCTGTTGGAGATTGTATAATTGTGCACATTTATTGTTGTTTGTTGCATCCGATGCTTTAGACATTGGAAATTCAGTGCATTATATCTGTTTTGTATCTGCTATTAAGAGAAGGATGACTGTGATGATTTTTTCACTTAGATTTAGACATTTTCTAAATCACCAAGACTTAAGTCTCCATGTCGGAGATATGAGAGTAGTAGTTGGAGACATAGCGACTCAACACGGGAGAAATTAGTAGCTCAGTGGGTGTGGGTGCACAGGCGTTTCCCTTTTGGCCATCTTGGGTCTCGCTGCAACTGTTTGTGGGCCCTTTCGTTATGGTAATCACATTCTTTTGCAGAACTGTGTGCATTGGACATATACCACCTGCTGTTTTGTACAAGGTCGGCTGATCGTTCCCTGGACCTATACCCTACCAATAGATGGTTCAAAGCATCCTCCAACCTGGAGCACATTCAGTTATCCTTACACTATAATGGTCTACAAGGAAGCAGCCAGAACGCCATGTACGTGATTGACAGAATAAGATGCAGTCTGATCCATGGATGCACTTCACGAGTCCGGACCACTTTGCAAATCAGCCGACCTCGCGTTTGCTCAAACGTACAACTGTCCTGGAGTCCTCATATTGGCTTCGCCAACTACTCAGTTCACGATCTGCGTACGCGCGTGATTCAAATCAAAGCATGTGCAAAGCATTCTTATGTAATGTAGCAGATTAGCCCCTTCCGAACAATAGAGGTTTTCTTATTATGACTCGGGTCGTTCCAAACACGAAGTACTCATGCTGTTGTGTAGGTTCACTTCAGTACCACTACAATTTCAGTGCAGTAGTGAGTATCCACCGTTTGAAAGGAAGATTATTTTCCGAACCATGTTCGTCATGTTCGGGCTTTGGTGGGATTTATTAATACAGGGCATATTCCTTGGGTGAGGATTATCAGCCATCGGGGTTTGATCTCATCCCATTTAGAGAAAATGTTGACTGTTGTTGATGAAGGAGATACGGCAGTACTAAGACAGCTAGTAGGAGGAAATAGGGTTTTCGGTAAACTAAAACGTGCATATGTAAGATATGATTTCGGCTGTCAAGGTTGGGTACTCATCGAAGGCAAAGAATATTTCGGTATAAAAGAGGCTTCAGGAGCTCTCGCGTGGAGATTTAGACGAATGGATTTTGAGTTGGTTGATAAGAATCCTTGTTGACAACTCGTTTCTGAAAGTTAAAATTTAGCTCATCACAGTAGCTGAAAGGGTTTCAATTCATAGCTTTGCTTCGATTTGTTAACTTCAAATTCCATCGTGCCCTGTCGGTTACTTCCTAGAAACATGATTTCCAAGCATTGATCAAGATTTCGATTCTTCTATTTGATCTTCTGTTTGAACAATGGATCTTATCTTGAGAACCGTCTAAGACTGGTGAAATCGATGGGTTATCATTGAAACAGACTTATTCATCTCAAACCATGAGCGGACTGAGTTACTTAACTTTTGAGATACACTAAATATTTATGCTAATGTATTTTCATATATTATATAATTTTTTATATTATCATAGATATGTGAAATTTAATAAAATTTTATAGAAAAACTAGCTCAAATAAAGATGATTTGGTACTAATGATTATATGTATCTATACTATGTCAAAATATAATGGCAATATATGGTGGCTAGCAAATTACATAAGACTTTACATTGGAGAGCATTAGCTTCATAGATATGTATATTAGTATTTTGGTTGATATCTAATTGACACGTGGTAGAGTCGCATTTGCAAGACGTCGCTTAGGCACGGGTAGCATGCTCGGACACGTCACGGAGGTAGTTATATCATGATGATGTATCATTGATATTATCTTGATTAACTTAATGTCAAGAACTAGGCTGTAGAGATGTGTATATAAATACTTTGGTCGCATATCTAGTTGATATATGACAAAACTACATTTGCGAGGCGTCTCATAGGCATGAGTAGCACGCTTGAGCATGCCACATATGTAGTTATATCAAGATGATGATGTATCATTGATATCAACTTTACTAACTTATCGTTGGGGAGCGTGAGCTACAGAGATTTGTATATCATTAGTGTGGACAAATCTTGGATTGACACGTGGTAGAGCCGCATGTGTGAGACGTCACATAGGCGTGGGTAGCATGCTCGAGCAGATTATGTGGATAGTTGTATCATGATGATGATGATGATGTATCATCAATATTAACTTGCCTGACTTTAGGTTGGAACTCTTGAGCTCTAGAGATCTTTATATCATTAGTTTGGTCGAATTTCAAGTAGACATGTGGCAGAGCCGCATGTGCGAGACATCACGTAGGCGCGGATAGCATGCTTGGGTAGGTCACGCAAGCAGTTCTATTATGATGATGATGTATCATAGATAATAACTTGCCAAATTTTACGCTGTAGAGCCTTAGTTGCAGAGATTTGTATTTCAGTAGTTTGTTCAAATCTCGAGTAAACATGCAATACGACCGCATGTATAAGACGTTTTGTAGATGTGGGTAGCACGTTCAGGCAGACCATACATGCAATTATATCATCATGATGATGTATCATCAATATTAACTTGTCTGACTTTATGTTAGAGAGGTTAAGCTGCAAAGATTTGTAAAATTGTAGTTTTTTTTGTTGGAATTGATGTTTTATGGCTTGATGAATAGACGCATTTGCATTCAACACTTTCTATAGTTTGGTCAAATCTTGAATACACACATGATAGAGCTGCACATGCGACACGTCATGTATGAGCGGGTAGGACGTTCGAGTAGGCCACACAAGTAGATGAAACATCATCATGGATACTAACTTATTTGACTTTACGTTGCACAACTTGAGCTGCAAAGATTTGTATGTATGTAGTTTGTATGTTGAATTTGATGTTTTGGAGCCGAATGACTTGATGAATATGCGCCTTCACATTCAACATTATATCTAGTTTGGTCAAATTTCTAATATACATGTGGTAGAACTGCACGTGCAAAATGTTACGTAGGAGTGGGTAGCACGCTCGGGTAGGTCACGCAAGCACTTATTTCATGATTGTATCGTATCATTGATATTATCTTGCCTGACTTTACGTTGGAGGGCCGGAGTTGCAGAGATTTGTATATCGATAATTTGTTCGAATCTTGAGTTGATACATGGCAGCGTCACACTTGCGAGACATCACATAGTTGCGATTAGTACGCTCACGTATATCACGTAGACAATTATATCATGATGATGATGTATCATCGATATCAACTTGCGCGACTTTACGTTGAAGAGTCAAAGCCAAAGTCAAGATTTGTCTATCGCCAGTTTGGTCAAATCTTAAATTGATATGTGACAGAAGCACACATGAGAGACGTCATGTAGGTGCAAATAGAAATCTTGAGCAGGCCACGCTGATAGTTTTATCATAATGATGATGAATCATGGTTATTAACTTGTCTGAGTTTATGTTGAAGATACTAAGCTAGAGAGATTTGTATATTATCAATTTGGTTGAATCTTGAATTGACATGTAACAGAGCCACACATGGAAGACATCATGTAGGTGCGGGTAGCACGGTCGGGCAAATCACGAAGGCAATTATATCATGATGATAATGTATCATTGATATTAATCTTTCTCTAAGACACTATTATTGGTTTTTTGGGAATATGAACTACTTCTTCTTTCAATGAGTGGTCACTTTGGTCCAATACAACCAAGGCTTGCCAATAAGCACTGGATAGGTGGATGATCTTTCTGGTCTCATGACCATGTAATTTAGCAAGAACAGTTTGCCACCTATAAGAGTTGGTATTTTACTTAAAGATCCGACTCGCACCATCCTAGCTCTATTGGCTAGTTTCATGGTTGGCTCTAGTTGTGTAAAACTGAATTGATGGGCAATAGCGTCAATCATGATGTTAACTCCCGATATTCAATCCATCACAACGTAAGAAAGAATGCAGACACTGATCTGAATATCAATCTCAAGAGAACCATGTTCTTCATAAAGCAATTTTATGTTTGCTAATGTACCCACCTTTGGCAATTCTCTTCCTCTCTTGCCTACTAGCAATTCCTTCAGTTGTCTTCTAAAAAGAGCGCTGTCTCTGATAAGCTGTACTACTGTGGCCATGACTTGACAGTTTTCAAAATCTCTCTTAATATCATTGGAATAAAAAACTTCACTATTTTTTATCTCCACCTTTGACTTCTCTCACTCCATAGCTGCTAGTGATATGATGATTTGAAGTTCTTTAGAAAGAGACTTTTCATGCTTCAAGGTTTCCAATTCCTGTAGCTGTTTCTTTATCTCCTCATTGACTTTAGGAAAGAAAAGTTTTGGATGATCCCTCTTGTAGTTACTATCTTGTTTAGTAGAAACATCAGATTTGAAAAACTCTTGCTTAGTATTCTTAGCTTTAATATGGTGTATTTTTTCTCCTTCCTTCTACTTAATTTATTGATGACCTTGTGGCTGTGATGGTCAAATCTTGAAGTCAAGATTACATTATAATTGTGAATTTCTGTACAACAACAGTTGATTTATCTATATATATTAAAATTACACAGATGTCATATCTTTAGCTTTTATTATTTAATCCATACAAAATTATGGATATAAAAATTTTATGAAATAAATAAACTAATATCGTTTTGGAAAGACTTTAAAATTTTAGATATTTAACTTTATTTTATTTTATTTTTATAATATTCCAAAGATAAACCATCGCTTTAAATCACATTGTATTCAATGTTTCAATAAAAACTAGTTTGAACGGTGTTCGTATTGAAACTACTCTGTGCCTTAGTCACAAGATTATATTTGTTCCATTCGCTATGAAACTTGATGTGTCTTCCCACAGCTTTCAACTTCCATTACGTATCCCTGTGAGCGGACCGAACCAAAATCGGAATTGCAAAGACTCGTCTATGATGTAAGGGAATCACAAGTTAAGACACCTTCGAGCATGCGAGCACCTTGTTGATCCGCTCTAGCTTTATAGAGGCGCACAATCCGGGACAGGAGCCAGGATTCGTGAACGAGACACACCCCCGGTGTCCTCTGTGAGCTGCAAACTCTTCGGTGCTGTGGGGGAATTCTATTGCCAAGAGGTAGTAGTACAGTGGATACAAATGCCATTTTTTGGTGGCTGGATTTGAAGCGGAATAAGGTCTACGCCTCGAGGCAATAAGTTTTATCTGATACGAAATTGTCTCCATCGCATTCACTTTTCGTCAGTTCGAATTGCTTGATTGAATGAAACTGCAGCAACTCCCGCTTCAATGGCTTCGTGTGTTCAGCATCTCGAGTTTCTCGGTTCTGGAAAGTAACATCGGTGAGTTGTGGACATTCGACGAGAATGCGTAAAAATGTTTCAGGGCATTGATACACAGAGAACAGCTAGAGCAGCTCGATGTCCGCAAACGGTATAACAACTCAGTTCCCTTAGAGAAATAGTATTTCTTTATGTCAAATGGCTCTTTGGTTCGATCGAGTATTTTCGCTGAATTTCCGACCGTGCCTTTTTGTCGTACCAGGAGATCCCCGAGATATCTCTTTACTGGTGAAAGCTTATGCAGAACGGGCGTTGTTTGAATCTGTTGCGGCTGACACATCACTGAGCACAAGGGACCATTTTCTTTCTCCCCTCCCCTGGGGCCATAACACTGTTGAGAACTACTAGAGTCCTCCTACCCACACGCCTGGAAACTACAAATGTACAGGACGGTTTCACATTTTAGTTCTGCTGTGCTAAGAATGTGATCGGCTTTTCTTTCAGGACGCGAACGACCATTGAAAGTACTTCGTAGGTAGCACAGGCATTTTGATTAAGCTGTGTCTTACACTGTGTTCGATGTTTTCACTAATCTCGACCTGGGAACAATTCGGCGGAAGGCATAGGGTATAATGAACTCGAGAGATAAGCAGTTCGTGCAGGATGGACCCCGCGCATGCTAACAAATTATGGAGTACTAGGAAGCAACGATAGAAATCTTGACATGTAAGCACTTGTTATCACTGCTCACTTCTTGCTGGGAATTTGCACCGATGCTCAGCCCCACACCTTTGACGTTCAACACGCTTACTTGTCATTCCCTTCATTGGGGTGACAATCATCGACACTTGGGTGGTGTCTTTGGTGCCCAGCCCATACTCTCCGCTTGTTGGACGTATGAATGGGACAAAGGTCCCCAAACCCCGTACAGACCTCGTAGGCAGGCATGCGACAAATCGCACCGTACTTGAGTCTTGTTGGGCGGTCAGATCAGGCGCAAAAGTCTCGTGGTGCTTGAGCGTCGCATCT